CTCTTTGGCAGCTTATTTTTCTTCCCAAATAACACCAGTTGCAAAACATTCTTGACAAGGAAAAATCATCTTTTTTATTTCTTAGAAAAACAAGCTTTGATCTCGCAGTCCTGACAGAAATAGGGAAACATTTAACAAAACCACTTTTACTTCAGTGACTGAACTATGTAATACCATGCCAAAGCTCACTAACATTTTGAATAACTTTGAACATCAGAGCACCTGTTTTAAACAGTTGTTGGTATTTGTCCCTGCGATGCTCATCATCTGATTTAATCTCTGCTCACTGCATAAACAACGGAAGACTATTCTGTGTGTTTCTATTTTTGGGCAAAGTTGTATGCAGTTTTTCGTGACGTACTGACCGTGGCAGGTGGAGTAAGTTAAGATTTAGTGAACAGTCTCTTTAAACAATCCTTTGCAGACACTGTAGCAACATTAGTAAGAAACTGGAAGTGGGAAATACCCTATCAAAGTCAATGACAGAAAAATCTACCAGGTGATGAACCATCAACAAGGAGAACCCTATTACTCCTGTATTGTTTATCATGACTCTGCCAAGCACTGCCTTTGGCCAAATCAGGAATTTAGTTGGTAAGTTCTTACCAAACCCTCTAAGTATTTAATCTAAAGAACTCAGGTTAGATTATGCACAGAAATACAGTGCTAGCGAAAGAAGATTCTGTAGCAAAGAAAATTAAAGTACAAATTAAGTATTTTGACAAATTAAGGTAGAACAACCTGAAGCTATTATTCACCTAGAAGCTGTAACCACTGCAGCAAACCAGAATGGAGACGAATTAAACTGACATAACCTCAGAAGATTAGTTATCACTCTAATCCAATTAGGCGTGTTTCCTAATTTTACTCCAATGAAACCTGTAATATTTTTACACCAACTCCTGCAAAGGAAACAGCAATATGAAAAGACCGATCATCAGCACCACAAATAATAAAATTCATATATAAACAAAAGGTTTGGGGTTTGTTTTTTCTACATTAAATCTGGGGGGAAAGTTTAAAAAAAAAAAACCAAACTATTTAAACATTCTAAATTATCTGCCATCCACTGATCAAAAGCCCTTGCATTTTACTATGCCATTTCACAATCCAATTCCTTTCATCATGCCAAGAAGCATAATGAAAAATAGAAGTGAACCAATGCTTTCCTATCAACTGAAAGACAAATACAAATGTTCATTTTGAGAATGAGGGATTTATACACTGCAATAGCATCATTTATCAAAAGCTTAAACAGGAGAAAAAAAAAGATACTAGCTTATATGGTGTACCATGAAAAAGCATCTAGCTGTATTTTGTTAAATGCAAGAAGAACAGCTCTTCCTCATCTATTAACTCTATTTTCTTCTCCTCCATTCAATATCCAAAACCAGTATTAGGATCTCCTCTCTGATACTTTACTACAGAAGCACAGAGAGTGGGGTAGCAGTACCTTCTTTCATTTGACTGGGGTTTTAAAACATTTCACAAAGCTGCCCCAAATTTTTAGAGAACATACAAATTGATTTTAATATAAATAGCATGCAGTCAACAAAGCAGTCACGGTTTTGTGCTTACGCACTGTACCCAGACCCGAAGTGTGTATCCTGTTTTTAAGTACTGTACATTGTCTTAATGTAAACATGTTCAAAAGTTCAACCTTCCCATGTGGAATTCAGGAAAGAGGGGGGAGGACAACAATCAAGTCAGTCTGTGCAGATGTTACACTAAGTCAGTCAGATATCAGGATAAGAGTTAATCACATCCGAATAGAAAGCAGCAACTTAAAACCATATGGACCATGACAGAAGACAAAGTCCAATACAGCTTCTTTTCAATCTGATTCTGCCTTTGGAACAAACAGAAGAAAACCAGACCAACCTGCCTAAAATAACACATGCACAAAAAATGTCATCTGAAGCAATGAAACACAAAATTCTCTTTCAGAAACATTTAGATACCAGATGGAAAATTGTTCATCAAGTGGAAATAAATATATTTAAAAGCCCAAATTAATTACCAATTAGTAGTTGATATTGGAACTAGAACAACCAATGCTACAGTTAGACCTCTGAAGGAACATCTATAAAAACTCATTTCAAGGGAATAAAATTATACATCAACATCTTCACCTGATGAAGATGCTGAAAGACAGCATTCAAGCTAAATAATTAGTAAAATTATGATTTAAGAGTATACTTCATTCACGAGAAGAGATACTCATTTAATTAGAACTAAGGAAAATAAGTTACTCTTGACAAAGACTAAAAGAGTACGTTGACAGATTCTCCAAAGACAGGTAATTGAAAACAAACAATAAGTCACTATTTTCCATCCACTGTTTGCAAGAGAGTTTTATTATCATCTGTTATGTAAGCTTTGATACCTAAACGTGTATGGGATGGCAAGATCCGCATTTCAGTACCTTGAAAATATACACTCAAAATTTGCATCTATATTTGCAACCACAGGCAGCTCCCCATCATTTCTAAAGTTTGGCAGCAATCTCTTTTTGTAGGGTCAATTACTGCAACTTTCAAAATCCACTGATAAATTAATGTTTGTAAGTATCAGTGGTACTTCACAGGCATGATTTAAAAACAAAAACACAACCCAAAACACAAAAAAAAAGAAGGAAAGAATCTCAGACTTCCAACATTTTAATAATTCCTTCCTGCTGCCATGTGGAACGTCTGGTGGATTCAGAAGAGCAACAGCTTCCCACAGAACTTAGCACAGATGACTAAATGCTTTTGATGGCATAGTGAACCTCTATTTTAAGACTTCAACTCTGCATTACAGTTCACTACCATATGACTACAGGCCAAATGTTAGGAATTTGCATTAAGAATGAAAGTATACACAAACTCTTGGAAGCTACCAGTGAACTACTGCAGCAGAAGGGGTATAATATGACATTTTATCTCAAAAGGCAGACTTGAATTTTTACAGCAGAGTATTTCACTTAATTGCAAGCCACCTGGACTTATTAGAAAGGTCTAAGAAGTGGTCAAAGTTCACACTACTGCTTAGAGAACTCATCAGCAGAAAGACTACTGTGTTGGCTCATACCTGTTCAAAAGACGTATCATCTGTTAACAGACAGAATCAATTAACTTTTTTGGGTTCTTCTAAGCTTACATTTTACAGCAACTGATTTCTTTACTAGGCACTTAAAATACTGTAATATTTCCTTTGGCTCCTGCAAATCTAACCAATAATAACACAACTTCTCTAACAGTACTCTCAAGGTAGCACTAACACATGAGATATACAAACATCACAAAGTAAAAGTTGATGAACTTCAATCCCTCAATTTAAGGAGGAAAGCAAAACCTAGATCATGTATAAACCACGGAAAAGGCTCTAATGTAAAACTATAAACTTCTCCAGTCACACTTTAATAAAAGGAACCCTAACTGGGCACGTGTTGGCATCATCTACTGGGTGAGGCTTCTCAAAAGACTTATGTGAAGGAACCTCTTATTTCTGGATCTGTGTAGATCTTAAACATGTACTAAGCACAAGACAGGAGCACTTCCAGGCAGATGTGAAAGCACTTTTCCAGAGCTCTAGAAGGTCTCCATGAAAAAACATAATCAACTAAATATGAAGAGAAACAGAGAGAAAACACAGGAACTAGAGGACGAACATTAACTAGGCTTGGATCAGACATAGCACTGTTCTTCCCTTAGACATTATTTACATAATCCATATGTGGAATAGTGGCATTTAATAATTTATTCTGCATAGAGCATATTAAAATTATTTCCTTTCCTTATTTATATACAAGAAATTTTTTTAGGAGAGAGTGAACTGGAAAATGAACCCAGCACCTGGTTTGCTCACCAGACAGAACACTTGCTACAAAAGGGTAACTTCCCCCTACACCTTTCTTCCCCATGCTCTTGACGTTGGACTCCATGACTGACCAATCCCCAGATCCTTGAAAAGCCAATTATCTAAATTAGTAACAACTCTTGTCACTATTTTTGAAGCTGGCACGTATCCCTAAGATAGACATTAAATACTCATTTCATGTAAGCCAAGTTCATCTACGCAACCCCAGAGCCAAGAACAGAAAACCTCCATTGTTCATTTCTCCCGCCCTACTACAACAATTTAAGCTTTTTAAAGCCCTCTCTTTCGAAAGATGTTCTGCAAGGTCCTACTTTAAGACCCACTTATGCAACAGCAAGAGGAGCTCATGGTTTCTGTGGATAGAAGAGGCAACAGAGGCCCATGGATGGCAATCAATGGTAGCAAGGAGCCAGGGGCAGCATAGCTGCTTGGGATTTCCTATAAGCCACAGCCTCCTTGTTTCTACTGGCTATGCCGCCTTGCCAGAGCTGTCTCATTGCTGCTCCACCCCTTTGGATGCCACCTACTTCAGCACCTCCTCCTGGCAGAATCCCCAGCTCTACTTCCACCTGTCAACACTTTCTTTCCTTCCACCCTGCTACCATACCCAATTTGATAACAGTTGTCTGAAAGACGTCTATGTCGTGTGAGCATGTGTGAAACCCCAGATGCATCACAGAACACCAGCAGTTCCTCAGTAAGCTCTAACCTAGACTACCGCCAAATTCAGTCAAAGCTTTGGCTCCACTGGGTTACCTCTAAGCATAGACCATGGTGAGCAAGTCTCAAACAAAAGGGGTTTTTTGTACGCTGCAAGCTCAAACTGCAACCAGTGCAGTATCTCCTGCTCAAAATGGAGACTTTTAGCAGTGAAGCAATGGCTAACACATAATACAGCTGAATAAACCCCTAAAGCTAGGAAAAAAAACAAGAATGAAGGTTTGCACGTCCTTTTAACAAATGAAGCCAACGAACAGATCGCACTGTAGCTGTTGATAGAACATCTGGTGAGGCCATTGAAATGACTCAAACCATCTACAAACCCATTCCCCTCCACTTCTCAACAGGTCAACTGCGCTGACATTGGACTTATTAGGATTAAACAGATACAGAAATACCTTGCCCCCGATACCATTTACCTTGTCCTGAGGGCCTGCCAGGCTGCATCGATGTCTGCGTACAGGTTTTTCTCAGAGGGCTTGCCGGTGCTCACCCCGTAGCCAGAGTAGTCATAAGAGAAGACGTTGCAGTTGATGCGGGAGCCAAGGCCAATATAGAAGCTGCACATCTGGCCCAGGTCCACAGCATTACCATGTGAGAAGAGCAGGGTGTACCGGCCAGTGGGGGCACAACGTACGAACATGCAGCCCAGCCTGTTATCTCGAGCCGTGCGGGAGAAGAACACTTCCACGGCATCCAGTTCCCGCTGTGAATACTGCCAGTCCGCCCGCTCACTCAAGTGCAGACTGCAGGTGCCTGATCCCGTCGGGGTCCCTGCCCCGGCTGCTGCCCCAGCCTCCTGCTGCTGCTCAGGCT